AAAATATTTAAGCTCACATACCCAGGCTATACTGACAAATGACCTTGATTTAAGGGGAGTATTGCTAAGTACTTACCATGTGCAGGCTTTGGCACAGAGAAATCTGACATCACAGATGTTAAGAAGCTTTAGCCTCAAATCTTACAATAAATCATAGTCATCTTGGGAAATAAAGAGTGAATTTGAGATCTGTTTTTTGTTTTCTTTTTTTGGGAGAAAGTTGGACTTGTTGTTTATCTCCCACATGGTCTTTGAACAATATGTTAGATTCTTATCAGTAGTGCTTGGCCTTTTGTCCAAGGGCTTCTCGGACAATATATCATACATCCCCCGCCTCTGCAGCTGTCAATGTGCCTCCTGGGCTGGTGCCACATAGTGCAATAAGTGGGGAGAAATTTCCTCATCTAAGCCCCCAGCTCCCCGCCACTCTCACTCACACAGCCCCAACCCTTCCCTCCAACCAGAAAGCGCCCTTTTGTCCTGGATTGTTTGTAAGCTCTTTGCATTTCTGTGCCCTCCGTGTGCTGGATAAAGGGTGGAGGGTGTCACACAGACATCTGTCACAGAGATATGGTGAGAATGCATCTCTGCGATATGGATATTAGTTCACTTCATATTCATTCAAATTGTTCTACAGGGTGGGCCATTTATATGGATACACCGTAATAACATGGGAATGGAATTGTATATGAACAAAATCGTGGTGTTTACAGAAAACCACAATAACCATATATTATAACATTACCATAAGACTGGGAACAAAACATAGTTGGTTTGTGTGTGTGTATTTTGACACATTTTACCCTTATACATAGTCATACATTGGAGTTACATTCACACAGAACATATCGATCCTGTTATTGGGTGATTTGCGATCTTTATTGTTGAGTACTTTCAGCTCTTCCAACCATTCCATCATTATTTTAAACCATCAACTTTACCAAAATATCTATTTTACCATTTATTCACTGCTTTAACCGAGTTATCACTACTGTGCCTTGCATTCACTTCATTGTTTGCACTGCTTATCCATTTTTAGCTCTGTATTCATGCTCTTGCGCTCTCAGCACATGGCGTTCAGGTGTTACAGCTGAGCTTTGTTAAAGCAACCCACAGTCTTTCTGTGCTTTCCCTGCCAGCAAGTGCCCCCGGCTGGGAATCACTTCTGTCAATGATATGCCCACAACATGACAGTTTGGACAGCATGGTTGCTAATTACATCATAACGCATCGAATGCATCCACACACACCCTTGATATGGTACAACTGGCAAGGCCTTGGCTACTGTTACATAACCCATCTGCTGTCTTGCTGCAGGGTGCTGACAATCACCTTCCAGTCAGGAGAGCCGCCTCCCTCGGCGCTACGCTTTGCCTTGCCCTGCCCTGAACCGCACCGTCCACTCTGCAGCAGCTACAGCAACATCATGTTGCCATGTTAGCTGAAAGATGCGACCAGTGAAATGTTGACTTTGAAGCCGTTTCCGCGACTGCTGCTGGTGCCAGTGGATCCAGCCGTACGTCAGCGGAGCCCACAAAACAGATGCTGGCGCAGCAGCGTGTCTGACGCACATCACAGCTGGCAGCTCTTTCTGCAGCCAGCCTGACAGGTTACATCAGTTATACAAGCGTTGTTTTTATTTTATTTTTTTTAAAAGGGGGGGGGGGAAAGTATTTTCACTTTGAAACGACCCAAAGATGCTTTGGTTTTGAGACAAACAGCTTTGCCAGAGGGTTTCTATTAAAAACCTTTATGCGACTGCCAGACTGTGGAGCTCACGCAGAGAGAGGGAGAGATTCCACTTGCAGCGAGCTGATGCAAACGATCAGCAAACTCGGGAACTTCGAATGTACTTGAGCTACTTCACCTCACTCATAGCCAGTGGCACAGCTCATCAAATTTTTTAATATCTGTTTACTTGTAATCAAAATATGCATTTTACCTTTGCAAGCCTTCATAAACCACTTTGAAGCTTTTTTGTGAAAGCATGCCAACATCTCAAAAACCTTAAATCCACTGATGCTGTTTATCCTTCACTTTAATCCGACTACGCACTGATATTGATGAATATCTCATGACCGAGTGTGGAATCCACGCAAAGTGCAACATATTTATTTGCGCCTGAGAACACGAAAACACTTGCCAGTAAAAAAATGAACAATAAATACCCGAGAAAAACAAACTGTTTATTTTTAAATTATTTTCTGTTCACATTAGACGATGAATAAACCATGAAAGGATGGGCTGCATCGTTAAATATTGATCGACTTTCAATGAGAACAGCCTCAGGTTGATGAGACAAACGGAGGCTCGCATAGCAAAGAGCTAAATGAGTCAACAGGGGCACGGCTTCGTTCGCCCCTTTATTAAAAACGGCAGCACCACCTGACTTTGTGGGGAAAATAAAAATTAGATTTTGTACTAACAGAAGAAAAATGCCTTCTGATGTCTCTATAAATCAGTTAAACAATAAAGACCTGTTTTTGAGGCTTTGACGTATTCACCCAGAAACTGAACTATTTCCCCGCTGTCTTCCATCTCACAATCAATTATTCAGCATGCACACCAGTCTGAGGCTGTATGAGAAAGGGGAAAAAAAAATTAATTGTGTACATAAATAAATGCATGCGACACACCAACTCCCCCAGCAGCCAGGGATGCCTCTAAGCTTAGGTCGCAACCCCAGTTGCAAAGCGCGGGTAGATCCTTATAATCGTCTCTGGCTGTTTGAACTGTTCCAGCGCTGACACTTAGAAAACTTGTAGTCAGCAAAGAGCCACACGCGAGCTGCAGGGTTTTTTCCTTTTTAGTGGCTCCATACGAAGCTCAATATTAGGCTTTCGACTTTAAACATTCCTGCAGTGTCTCTAAGATGTCTTGTAGAATAGCATTTCTGTTCTCCTTAGACACCTAAATGGGAAAAAGAAACAAGTAAACAAAGAATTTAGAAAGTGTTTGTAGCCTGTGTGAGCAGAATATACAGCCATGCATTAAATACAAAGATTAATATGAAATAAATATAGAATATAATGTCCAATGCCTAATCTGACCTGCTGTAATACAAGTAAAATTACCAATGGTATGTCTTTAAAAAAAGGTTCATTCTGCCTCATGTAATAACTCCCCCAGCATGAGAGGGAGTACAGTGAGTAGTTTGCATGACAAAATCCATAACTGAGTCTTCCGTGATGAATTATTTTGACATTTGAGACCTCCCTTTGTTGTTAAATCAGTCACGCATGATTTAGAGTTAATCCTGCCGTAGAGGAGGGATAATGCAGGGCATGGCCCCTGAATGTTAGTGAACAGACTGCTTCCTAAGGCCAAGTGGATGCAGCCTAAGCAGAATCCTATAGCTATGTAAATCTGTTTTAAAATAGCAGGGAAAGCATACTGGGATTATTTATACTCACAGTGAACACCTTGACATCCCTCCTGTTCCGCACCTCTTCGACCAGCCCAAGGGGTTTACCTTTAGGGATGGGGATGGTGCCCAGGATGGTGCAGGAAGAGCTATCTAAGGTCTGTCTCACTGCCCTGATGAAAGACTGGCTGAAGAGCTCCATTTTCCCAATCTCATCAATGACAAACACCTTCCTGCTGCTGCTGCTTCCATCCGCCGAACCAATCTGGAGATGAACGATGCAGACATTAAATGGAGTAGTGGGGCTCAAGCTAACAATTACTTTGTCATCAATTGATCTTTAATTATAATGTCAGCAAATCCTTTGGTCTGTAAAACACCAGAAAAAAAGAAAAGAGAAATTTCCTAGTTGCTTAAAATCAAGCACAATCCATCTGAGGAGATATCTATTCATTTAAGCCCTAAAGACTATTTTGGATGCTTAGTTTGGTTAGTTAAGGGAAACATCTCCCTCATCGTTTTAATATTTCACGTATGACTGACACCGAAAGCGTTTTGCGTGACGCTACACTGCAGATCTGCTGTGATTACAGAGAGAGTGAGATGAAAGTGAACCACGCGCTGTCGAGGCACAGACATCTTTCTTTACAGCGCATGTGTAGGCGTCACTCCAGGTTCACTTTACATGCCGGATTAATCACGGTCAGTGACAGCCAGACGGCACCACGAACACTAAAAATGTCACTGTGGAATTTACGTGTTTGCAAGCTTCCAATTATTCCATCAGTTTTCAGGAAAAAAAATCAAAGTGGAGTTGAGAAGGGAGTCTTTCGCTTGCTGTGATCTACTGATGAGGGTGGCTTTTAAAAAAAGCCCATGTGCTGCTTACTTACATTTCTGAAGAGGGGGAGAGACAGATTTTCAAATGAAGGCAAGTCGACCACATACTGGCCAACTGTGTACTCCCGCCTGCCGTGAGGCTGGCTGTCTCTACTGTCTCTGCAAGTTGAAAAAGACATGAATCAAAACAAAGTGAGAAAAAGAGAGCAGGCAGTTTGAGCGAGATTGCATGACAACACCGCTACCTGATTCTGGACAGGTGGCCCCTCGCTCCTGTCAGGGTGACCACATCAAAGCCGACTCTCCGGCCTCCTTCCCTGACCTCCTCCGTGTAAAAGCCTTCAACTCCCACTCCTGATGACACTAAAGCCTCGCAGGCTTTCTGGACCAGGGTGGTTTTCCCCACACCTGAAAGCAAAACAGACAAACTGTCAAACAACTGAAATATCACCGTTTCAAGCTGAGGGATCCTGCCTAAGTATTACTATGGTAAATCAATGTATTTAATCCTTACAGCCCTCAGACGATTAGGTAGCATAATATATTCATGTAAATCATCAATTGCGTCACTCCATCGTTATAATAATACTAAGAATAATAAACACAAACTAAACTAAACAAAAAAAGGCTGAAACGTTAATTGGGTTTGTTACCCGAATAAGAGTAACTGGAACAAGCTAACCTTCATTCAAATCAACGTTAAGACAGACTTTTTCTTCGCTGGGACTTAAAACAGCTGACTGACCGCTTTAGATTTACAGCGACTTTAGCTTCAGCAGCGCTGGGTGCACTCACTGCTGACTGTTACCTGGAGGTCCTGTCAGAAATACGTGCTTGAACATTGTGGTTTCCACCGTCCAACGTGTTCCTGCAGCGCTTCCGGACACAGAGTTGACGCATGCGCAGTAAGAGGTAAAACTTAGGACGGCACATTTAACGATTTTTTACATTTTTTTTTTTTTTTTTTTTAAAAAACCAAATCATCTGTAAAAGACAGGTTAAATGGGTACATTTATATATAAAAAAAGTTTGCCATAAACAACTTATTTTTCTTTAAAAAATAAAACTTGGGTTTTATACAACTTTAATATAGAGTTTAACAATTTAATGTGAAAGAACAATAAATTGAAGAGGTCAAACAAATGTAGTGGATCAACAAGTCCAACATTTCCAAGTAAAAGTTAGTGAAGTATACGGTTGAATAAAACTAACATTTTCCGAATTATTAAGGTGCAGCTGGTTAACTCTTTTATGCAAGATGCCTTGTATGAAATGCCAAGTCTAAAATGTGATATAGATTACTATTTGTTTGAACTTGTGTTGCATTTATTTGCCTTTGTATTCATTCCCCTATTGATAACGTTCCAATTTTTCAGTTTTATCCATTGCAAAGTTATTAGTTTAAGTATGCATTCATGTGTTTGTGATTATCTTCAGATATGTTAGGACAGCCATTTCAATTGTGGATCTGACAACAATGAATTAATATTTAAAAATTTGACTTCACAACACACTTTGACAGCCTGCCATCTGAACACGAAAACAGAAACACATAATGAAATGTAGAAAGAAAATATTGAAATAAACCAACTTCTAAATAGGATGACACATACAAAGAAAAATAATAGTTAAATACGTATGAACAAAGAAATTTAAACAGATAGTAATTTAAAAGACATAATTGAAAGTGGTATAAGGTTGTATCATGCCTGATAATTTATTTATCTGTATACATATAAATATTATTTCCATACAGTCTTTGTTTTCCTTGTCAAATAATATGAGGACGTAAATGGAAAGTAGCAGGTGTAATTTAAAGGAAATGCCCTGAAATCAGGAGCTGCTACAGGACCTGGAGATTTTCAGCTTGTGACTAAATCTGCTGATTTGGCGCTTTTATGCTAAATGATTTGCATAAATGGCACGCTTATTGAGATTTTTCATCCTCTTATATGTTATCTAAAGACTCATGGCCCAAAGCTTAATGCAATTATCTAGTAGCTCCAGTATTAACTGAGTGATTAAGATAAAAAATGATTGCAAAATTTCCAAAAACGTCTTTATTCAAGAGCATTTGCAGACATTAAGAAAAGGAATTGGATATACAAGTTGATTTCTTTGCTACATACAATACTACAATTCTTGATGTTACCATAGGGTATATTTATATGCTTTTTTTCCCCTTTACATAGTGTACCCAGGGAGTTTGCTGGCCACTAGCTCAGAGATATGCTGATACTCTTTCCTGAAATCCAGAGATCCCAGTTCATCCTCCAGTTCCTCTACCTCCTGGGGTTCAACGGAGGACACAGAGTCTGCAGACAATCCTCGAATGGGGATGCTGTGGTTGGCTAACGCGCTCTTCTGACCTCTCGATGACATCAAACTCTCAGTGCAGGAAGTTATTTCCACTCTGCCACTCGCTGACATCTGCTTTCTACTTTGCAGGGAGGCTGACCTGTCTCTGTCACACTCATCAGAGGAACAGCTGAGGGCAGAGGTTTGGGTACGAGGTCGGATGATGTGTGTACCCCTCAGAGTATGCTTTGGAGAGCTGGGGGCTTTGATGGGCACAGGAAGGGGGACTGATCTTCTCTGGACGATGTCGGATTCCGAATCAGAGTTCCAAAAGCGAACTGGAGACTTTGGAGTCTTTGCTCTGGAGGACTCGGGGCTGCTCAAAGGGTCAGGAGAGTAGGCATCACTAGGCTCGAGACTGTTAAAGTCATCAACATAGTCTGCTTCCTCATTTCCATCCCTGCTGGAGTCTGAAAATGAAGACTTTGAGCTGCTGCGTCTGCGGCTTCTTGAAGATTCAATTTTATCTCCACGCCTGTCAGATTCAGACTGTGATTGATCTGATTCACTGTGATGCTCGCTCTTGTCTTTGCTTTGGGGAACACTGTCGGTATCCACGCTGGGGATGTGAATACATTTCGAGACTCTTTCAGAAAGAAGAGACTTTTCTGAAGTTGTCGGAGAGCCTCTGCATTGTTTACCCTCGACTTTCACATGCTGTTTTTTCTGTTTTAGTGTGACTGTTTCCTGTAGCGCAGAATCCCGGCTGATGCTCTGCATCACCGTCTCAATATTTTCATTAAAATCAGAGCTCCTCTTTATTACCGACTTCCTTTTTCCAGACTTAATGGTTTTATGACCTAACCCAGTCTTTTCGTTTACTTGTGTTTTATTCTGTTTTAACTCCTCACATTCACGATGGTTTACTCTGAGAGGAGAAATCTGCTTCAGCCTTAGATTAAACGTTTTAGTTGTTCCACACACAAGCTTCTTCCTGGGTGATTTACATGAGCTTTTACTCTCAAGCGACATATTTTCTTTTTTGTCCTTTAGTTTTACAGAATCAGGTCTAACTATATGTGTGGAAACATTTCTGGGGGAATGAAAGCGTCTCAGATGAGGAAAAGTTTCCTGTTTGGTTTTCTTCATAGATTTGGTTTGTGCCTTCTGTGGTGTGTTTTTAGCTGAAAGCTCTGCAGAAGCAGGCCTGTATATCCAAGCTAGACTGGGGTGAACAGTTAAGGGCTGGTTGCTGTTTAGCTGTGACAGTTCAACGAGCAGAGCGTTTAGCAAAGGCATCCGCTGTAAGGCTTCCCCGAGGACATTTGGAGGCATTGTGCTTGTTTGTTGCTTTCTTATTTTCGCATCGTGTCTCACTTCTGAATGCATTGCTGGAGAACTTGGACTTTCCACTTCCTTTTCATCCACTTCGTCCTCTGAACGTGAATCTTCAAAAACAGGAGCTTCTGAATCCAGAGTCCATGATTTGTAATCACCTTGTTCATTTACTCCTTTTTCCTCTGCAGAATAGTAAAGATGTGGGGGACAGAATACAGTTAAATCCTCCTCAGAATCATTTTCAGCTTGGTCTTGTGGTCTGTGTTCAGTACCATCAAACACGTCATCGTCTTCCTCCTCCTTTCTATCTTTACTTAACAAAACTTCTGCATTTACCTCCGCTTTGCTTTGGGCTTTTCCGCTACACTGTGGGGTTGGTGAGCAGACATTTCCAGAGTCAGGAGGCTGCGATGTAGACTTGTTTGTCTCCTTGACATGTTCTTGTGCTTGCTGCCCTCCAGACACTCTCTCCCTCTCTGTGATGTGTGGCAGCAGACTCGCTCCTAGACATAACAGTTTATAACTCAGGGACATTGCTCCGACTTTCTCCCCCGCGAGGTTGCATATAGAGACAACAAGCCCCCTTTCTATGTGATAGGAGGGACTAGAAACCCCCCGTTCAGTCACATCCTGCCTGATTCTGTCCATCGCTTTAGCCAGTGATATCAGACAGGAGCCGACTAACTTGGGACTCTCCTCTGTAACATCCAGCACCATACCATACAGCGGGGTGTTGGACAGCTGTACGTGCAGTGAGTTTAAGTCCATTTTGAAGAAACAACACTTTCCTCTGTTAAAGGCGAACATTCCAGGTTTCTCCTTTTCATTGTGCCCGGGGTTGTTACTGCTCCCGCTGATCTGCTGCTGTTGCTGCTGTGACTGATAAATTAGCAGCGTCGGAAAGTTCAGGAGTGTGACTCCCAGAGCCAACTCGTTAAGGATTTTACAAATTTTCTCTACTCGAATGTATTCCACTAAAAGCTCCAATGAAAACAGAGTCTCTGGATTATCGCTGTTTGGTTGTCCCGACATTCCGAAAGCTGTTTGGCCACAGAGAACTAAAGGGCTAACTATCAAGATGTCAGATAATCCGCTAACAAGCGCTTTTAGCTTCCATCGGCTTCCATGGAAACATCTGTCGCGAGGGTTTTACGTCAGAGCGCGAGATTTGTGGGAAATGATGTTTCTCTACATACGACGCGGACTTAATTAATTAGCCAGTCGACAATTTCGGGGGAGGTGGGTTTTTTGCGCGTTTTATTTATTTTTTTTTAGCTATTACTTAAATTTGGAGCGCTTGTTCACAAGTTTAAATCGAGAAGCATAGAAAGCACAAAAACCGATAGACGCGGAAAGAAAAGCGATATTCAGGTAGTTCGAGGGAGTAACTTTCCTGCAGTTCACCAGATGGTGCCACTGTGGGGCTTATTGGACTTATACCCTAAAATAGACTTGTGGCAAATAGCAACAAGGCCACCAGACTTAGTTTGCAGGACAGTTTCATTAGACGCCTTTAGGTTCTTGTGGAGGGTTAGGGTTTATCTGGTAGTCTTCCTTCAATATTAACCTACAAACCTATATGTATAGGTCATCACAGGAGAGCGGAGTAGCGGTGGGCGGAGCCTCGCTGCGTGTCGTCATCACGCAGAAAGGTGCTGGATGGGTATCGCTATGGTCCGTGCTACTTCAGTCTGCCGGAGACTGAAAGGGGGAGATGTGAGAGCGACTACGGCAGCTTCAGCTGGCTTTACCTTTTACGGATAACTAACGCCGTTAACAACCGGGATAGGACACCGGCTCGGATTTGAAGGTAAGGCCTGCACGCCCTTTTTCGTTCTACCTCTGAAGGTAGCAACAAAGTAAAAAAGTGAAGCTGGGGAACTAAAAGCGGGGAGCGCTGCACACGGGCAGAGTGGCAGAGGCGTACAAACTCAGCTGGCACGTCGATGGTAATGGTTAACACAAAGGATAAAGTTGATTTCAAGCACCGATGGTGGTGCAGTCCGAGCGAGGGGTGGAGGTTATGATGTTTCAGGAGTGGACTTTATGTATATATATATAACCTATATTTGTCTCTCTTCCTTATGACTTATGCTGCTGGTCAGTTTAACTGGATTCCTGTTTGTTTACTCAGGGCATTGCAAGCTTTACAAATAAAGCCGTTTCAATGTAAAACATCTTTATTTTAACATTCTTGGAGACAGAGTGCAAGCTTCTTATTTCGGTGTGATTTTGAAGGAACTGTGTGTTTGATAACGTTTACTTATGGTAGTGGTGATGGTTTGTGATGGGGGACGTGGGGGCACAGTGGACTGGAGTATTTTTGAATGAATCTGTTTTGAGTGGCGTGCTTCCATTAAAACGGTGGGGGGCGATAAAGGCAGCTTTGTCCAACTGGCCGTGTGTAATAAAGCCTTCACTTGCTTACCAGCCCATATGCTCTCACCAACCATATTTAATATTTTCCTCTGAGAACCTGAGTGGGATATGTTTTTTTATGTAAACAATTTGCTGTTGTGTTTTGTGTCCTTTTTGTGGTTTTACTTTGCAGCAGTTTGTTATTAAGAGCAGACAAAAGACAGTTCCCCCCTCCAACAGTCCCGGTTGTTTGGTTTCTTCATAAATAATATCTGGCAGCCAGCTTCTACACAGCATATACAATCTTGTTTGGTTGCTGGCCGCTTCTGTGACCTATTCAACATACACTGCACTGTATACTCCACTGGGAAAGTAAGTCCAGTGTTGTTTGTCCTTAAGCACCGTATCCTTCCTGCAGGAAGTTGAGCCTCCACGGTAACTAAATCCCCAATAAAGGGAAATAAATAGGCCCAATTCTCTGCTGATGGCAGGCTACAGATACGACTAGGTGCTAGGAGTGTAAATCCTGAGTTTCTATTGCTTAATTTACAGTCCTCTGCATGCTTTTCCTTTTGTCTTTGCAGCTTACATCTGACCACATCAAGCATACATAGTTCTCTGCTCCCGGAGCACTTAAAATCAATAAGGCACCATTATTTTTCATGGGGTTTTGAGTCTGGGAAAGATTAGTTTTCCAGGGGATTTGCCGAACTAAGTAGGCAGAGAAGTGTTTTAAGATGGTATGTTCATGGCCTGCTTTAATGTTTAACTTTTTTTTTTCTTTCCTTTTAACACTAAAAATGCTTGGTTTAACTGCAGCTGTCATAGGTCTGCATGTTAGGGAAGAAACCTGAATGGGTGCAAAGATGTCTGTAATGATGTGTGGAATATTAAGCAATATTGTGCACAATAGTCAATTGTTATTATTCTTTGTACATAATGGAACCCTAATCCCTTTTATCTTCTCATTCTCGCTATCATCATGCGCATATTTCTATTAGGCTACCTTTCTAGGTTGGATTAATGTCTTTTGTCTTTTGTTAATTTCTGGCTGCTGAGTTTTACATTTGAAAGTTACATTGTAGAAGCAAATGTAGGGTTTCAGATGATAAAAGATTAAAGATAATGTAGATGAGATTAAGGGTCCTGGGTACCCCATCTCACCCCCTGTCATTGGCACACTCCTGGAGCAAGACTTGCTCAGCAGTCACAATAATGACAGTGCCGTGGTAACTCCTTCAATCTTAATTTGAATAGGGATCTGTTGTGTTCTGCCATCAATAGGTTGCTGAGAGGGCCCCAAAGAAGAAATATGTGCTCATCTATTTCTAACAGCGCCTTCTGCATGACTAACCAGACAATGGGTAATTGAGCCAGATAGATATGTCTTTCAAAATAAAGTTATGTGCGCAGCTGAACAATAAGGCACCTGTCAGGTCTGGCAGAGAAACGGCTTCCTGTGACATGCCCGTGGGCCATATCCAGTTGTTATCATTGCAGAGCTGTTTAGGATGTCTTCCGGGCTACTGGGCCTGGAGACGCCTAACTAGAATTACAGCCATTATCCTTGGGTTGTGTCACAGAAATTGTCTGTGAAGATGTTACTGTAACACATCGATTATTTAACAGTGTTGGCGGTTATCAGTCTTCTCACATCAGTCGCTTGCTTGGGATGTTTCTTTTCTTTCTTTTGTTTCTGTTCCCACGGTGCTTTCCTACCAGCATGCTGACAAGTCATAATTTGGAAAACAGCAGAAGTGAAACAAAACTGCTAAAGGTCTTGGGTTTAAGCCAGGGTTTTGTTTTTTTTAATAATGATGATGCATTTCTCGCCATTGAAGGATTCTCTTGCAACCATTTCCAACCAGTCCCACACCCCTTTCATGTGATGAGGATCAGAAACCTCGTCTGGTGCGTGCCAGCTGACTGGCTGGCTGGCTAGCTGGCTAGCTAGGAGTCACAATGGGTCTCCCCAACCAAATCCTGTTGCTTCAAAACCAACCAACCAGCAGACAGGGGATCACATGCTGCCTGCTCATGTTGTGAGAGCCACTCTTTCTCTCCACCTTTTTTGCCAGCCTTTGTTTTGATTGCGGTCTGGATTTATGGAAGGATTTAAGTCAACTCACCGCTGTCAGGACAGCATAGATGAAGTCATTAGGATAATGTTGTTGTCATTTTTTGTGAATTTAGTCTTTGCTCCACTTGGGGTCTGTTTGTGATGGATGTGGGTGATTCACTAAGCACTGTTCATAATGTGCCCAGAGTAGACAAAAGCTTCCTTTTTAATTTGGGATTATGGAATTTGTATCGCTGATGATCGGGTAAAAGCACCAGAACTATCATCAGTACCCCTCATTTATCTGGTAAACAATAAACCTTCCACATGGTTCTCAGAGGAGTATTGAGATATCTTGTTCTCGCTGCTGATCAGCATGGTGATTTTCCTATTGGGTTATTCATCAATTTTGTCTGCACTGTGCACAGTATGGTTTCTTAATGTGCAATCATTGTAATAGTATTAAGGTGCTAATTTTCTTGCTTAGTCACTGGTTTGTGCCAGTATTCATCTCAGGAAATCACTGTGAGAACAGGCCTCCCTAGTTCCATATTTCCACTCCTTATGCAAGATGGACAATTCAGACGTTATGGCTTGTGGTTTGTATCCTGGGAACATGGTAACAGCCTTGGTGTCTGGGACATGTATCCTTTGTTAATCTTTGTTGACCTTACTTTGGCATCTGATAGCGTCAGCAGGAGTGAAGGATGCTATACGATGTTTTGAAGCTCCTTGGCTCTAAGTCAGACAGTTACTAAGGAATGGTATGTTGTATTTTTATATGCTTAACACATTGCTGTTGCTTGTCATGAAGACCAGTTTAACCAGCGTTGACCTTACCGTTTTACATGACCCCCACATAATTTTCAAAACCAGGCTGTATCCTGTTTGCAGGACAGACAGATGTGATGTTGACTACATGGCAGTGGTTTACAGACAGCAGACTGTACAACAATGCTTTGTCTGAAAGAAAATTGTTAATTGTCCATATGCCAGACAGAATTGTGAAATATGGGGCTTCTTGGTCTCGGTGAGACTGCCTGTTTAAATAAAAGACTTTAATAATTTAATGTAGAAGGAATATCATTGTCATTCCCTCACCTCAAATCACAGGTTTATCCATACAGTCAGTATGGTGTGAGGGTTGTTGTTTCACCAGACTCATATTTAACATTGACTTTTTAAAAACTAAAATTAAAAAAGTCCCGTATATTATAGATTTGTAGCTGAGAAGCATGTGGGCGAATGCTTCTTCCTGCCCCAATGAGCTATGCTCACACCCACTGTGTTTGTACCATAAAGGCTGGAGAAATGCCAGTGAAAGTTATTTATGTGCTTTGTCTAAATGTTTTGTCGCTGGTCTGCAATGGAGAGGATAAGTCCTGGCTAGTCACTGACTTGATGGGAGCCAAGACCGGCAGTGACCCATAGGTTAAGTCAGTCTGTGTTTCCCCCGACAGGCCTGCACAATCGGGACAGCTGACCTCTGTTGTTGCAGCCAGCCCACTTTGGAAGATAAGGAGGATTTGGTGCCCCTGTGCATACCTCCTCCCTACCGTAGTGGAAAAGAATAGCCCTGTTTAAGTAAATGGACATGACTGGGTGAGGATGATGCAGACAGAGTCCAGACAGGATGTCATCTCTGTACACTTTTCTATCAGCGTGTCTTCGTCTGTTTATTGGAACCTCAGTATATCACATGTGTCACACACAGGAAGTGGAACCGGTTACTTGTTAGGAATGTTGCTTTTACTCTGTTTGATTAAATGTGTGTCTAATTTGATTGGATCACAAATTGGTTGTAGTGTTTTCACCTGTGTCTGTCATGTGTCATTTGACTACTTCTAATAGAAAGTCAAAGGCCCCCGTAAACAGTTGCTTCTTCCACCTATCATCAGTCAAATTTGATTGTCAGAGACCAATCAACTGCCGTGATATGCAAGTAAGGCTTATTCCAACTGTAGGAAAGATACATATGATTTTGTATTTAGTGCTGTCCACTTGGAATCTGATCTCTCTCTCTTGCATGCACGCACACCTATTGTATCAGCCCAGAGATCCAGAATCAGTGTTTCCCTGTTGTTTTCCCATATTACTCAAGACATTGTGTTTTCCCTGATACAAATGTATATAATAGTCATCATGTTATTCCTTGAAAGTACAGAAAACTGCTCCTGTAGTCTTAAAATGTGGGCCAAAGTGACACAAAGCCCTCCCGTGCATGCATCGGTGTCCTTGACTGTCAGATCGACCTGGGATAAGCTAAGGCATTTTAAGCGTTAAAAGTGCACGACTGGTTTCTGATAGAGGATGATTGTAATTAACAACTGAAATGGAGCAGATCCGTGACAGATGTGCCATAAAGTGCTCGGGCTTTAGTGTGTGTGTGTGTG